TATATGGTAGTTTACAAATGGTTTAAATGATTGGATATTTCAGTTTTATTTAATTGAAATGAATTGATTCAGATTTCAGACTTCAGAAGTTTGTCAGTTTACAAAAACAAACAGTCTTATTGATTCAGATTTCAGATTTCAGACGTAAAAACAAACAGTCTGACTGATTCAGATTTCAGACGTAAAAACAAACAGTCTGACTGATTCAGATTTCAGACTTCAGCACCACCTCTTAAATTTCAGAAGTGAATTCAGACTTCAGACTTAAGTACCTCTTAAAAAACAAACGCCACCTTAGACTTTAGCTTTTAAACCTAGTAAGTTTATGAGTTTTGCTCTTTGCTTACTATGACACTAAGGGGTCGTTTACCTAAACCATTACCAGGTAAGCACTTACCGGTAAAATTCAACATTATCGCTTACTTACCAGGTAAGATTTTATTCACTAAAACGCATCATATGCAACAATTTATCCCGGTAAGCGCTAACCATGGTAAGAGTCATTATTTTCACTTACTGGTTAAGACTCTCGATTCTTGCCTTCGCTCTTAGTAGGTAAGATTATTAGTTCTTGTCATATTCATCCGATAAAGTAAAGTGACTTGGTAAGCGCTTACCCGGGTAAGAGTCATCGTCCTCACTTACTGGGTAAGACTCTCGATTCTTGCCTTCACTCTTAATGGGTAAGATTATTAGTTCTTGTCATATTCATCCGATAAAATAAAGTGACTTGGTAAGCATTTACCCGGGTAAGAGTTTGGTAAACAGAACCTAACTTTCATATAATTTACTATTTTAGTTGAAAACTACTTGCAGTTTTCCTTGTCTTTTAAGTTCCAGATATTGAATTAAAGGTTCTATTATGCCAATTACAATTCAGGGTTTTGGTTTTTACGTCCCTTACCTTGTGTTTTTGTTATTATAATTAATACAAATCGATGTGTCTAGCTTGACTAGGTTTCAAACTCTTTAAAAAAACCGTAAGTTTTATTTGCTTTAAAAAAATTGACATAGGAATATTTTTTTAACATAATGAACTCTTGAAAATAAGACAAATCTCACCTCATTATATCAAAAGCTTTAGCATTTGAAAATTACCTATGCACATATTTGGTGGTAAAATACATATAGAGAGGTACCATTTATTACTTCATAATTTCTTTAAATAAGATAGGCTACCAACTCATTAATACATGCTTTCAAAATCATAAGACATGTGTTTATTATCATACAATCAAATGAGTAATTATTTAAAAATCCAAATTTTATTTTTTACACTATCCGAACTGGGTTGATGGTAAAAAACTTATACCGGATTATCTTTTATTTTCAATGCCGCCCGATACTTCACTAGAAAAAACCCGACAGCATGTCCTACCACCACAAAAATAAAAACACCAAGATTGTATGACATCACACACAACATTACAATGTATGCAAGAGCCATCCGAAGTCCATAAACTGAAGCCTGAGTCAATCCGCTGACGAACGGATTTGCCCCTGTCTTGATGGTAGGAAAGACCGAGAAAAACTCAACTGCAATGGCAAGGACAAAGACAAAAAGCAACCCCGATATGTACATGCCTAACTTACCATTTGGCCAATCATTGAATAACATGATGACATCTTTGCCCCAGAAGAAGGTCATGTGCATCATGGCCATGTGGTTCATGGTGGCATTAGGCATGGGCATGGGCATGGGCATGTCATGAGACATTTTGTTCAAGGGGAGAAGTTGGAGAAATGTTTTGGTTTTATAGTAGTTATGGAATTTTTGCTTTGTGTGAATGTGTTTATATGGAGGAGAAACCAAAGCGGATTTACATTGGGAAAATCAAGGGAAAAGTGTTCAAAACAAAGAAACGGCATGAACGATGCTACTGCTAGGTTTTAGTTTTCTTTAATTAAAAATAATAATTATTTTATGGTTTTTTAATACAATTTAATCATTTTTCAATGGCTAAAATTAATGGATTAAAATGTAATGAAATTCGGTTTAGTTTTTATTTAGTGTAACAATTTTTTTTAATAAATATAACAATTTTTTATAGTTTTCTATTTTATATATATTTTGACTGAAGGCCTGGTAACATTTGATGATGGAAATGTCACATTATTAATCTTTATTTAATATACTCCAAGTTTTTCTAAATCGAGATTTACCTCTTATATTTTTTTAAAAATTTTACACAACTTTATTTAATAAATTTCTTGTTATACAAGTTTTTTTTTTCATGTACAACTTTTTTTTTTGTAAGGGTGTCCGACCCAAAGCCCGACTAATCCCCGGAAAATTTGGAGGCTAAACATGGCCCCACTTAAATGTCGCCAACACTCCCCTCCCAGGGCTCGAACTCGGGTCCATGACTATGTCATGCCCAAGCCTTTACCACTAGGCTGGATGGTCTTTGACTTTTTAAAGCTTAATAAGAATGAACCTAAATTAAAATAGCCACGGTCGACCATACTATCCGGGGCCACCCCTTCTTCTCCGGACACCTCATTCATTGGCCACCCTCCGCGTGGATATATGAGTACTGTGTAGCCAGTGAGAGGGATTTCTCTTCCAGAACTTTTTGAATTGACGTCTTGGATTATTTTCAATTTAGAGGCATAATGTATCGGTGTATCCATATTTCACAATTAATTGATTTATATAATCAACACATATGAACAAGAATGATATCAATAGTAATCATAGTCATCTGTCTATTGATTCAAATCTTGGAGAATTATAATCAGATCTTTTGAACAAAGTATACTTGAGAGAATTACAATTAATTATTTGAGAAAAGCTATTCCAAGGATTACAAGTTATTCTAACAAACTTTGGTAAAGGTGTATAACAAAATTGGGTGGGGGTGTAATATTCGGGTTTCAGAGTTTGAAGTATGAAATTTTGGAATATATATATATATATATATATATATATATATATATATATATATATNTATATATATATATATTTATATGCCATCTTAATTTATGTATGTGAGTATGGGAATTTGTATTGGAGTGTTTTACTTGGTCGCGGTTATGCACTTGCTATAAATAGCAAGTGCATAAGAGTAGTAAGGACTTTTGAGAAATTTTCTTTAGAAATCATATTTGAGAGTGAAGATTGAGAAGGAAAACGCAGGCTTAATCTGTTCAAACATATAAAGGTGAGTGTGTTTTTGCTTTGAGTAATAATTGTTGGTATACAATTCATTGTTATTAGAATTACCTTATTTTGAATTACTTTGTATATTGTACGATTTACCATTTTTAAAACCAGACAAGTGTTGACCGGACTTCATCTAAACCGGTCAAGTGTTGTCCGGATTCGAGCATAAATCGGACAAGGGGTGTCCGGGTTTATCTTAAACCACCCAAGAAACAACCAGATTCTCTTTAAATCACTTGAAGATTCGTCGCGGTATTCTCTAAACCGGTCAAGTATCCTCCGGTGTATAATCTAAATCGCTCAAGTGATATACGGGGTAACAATCTCATATGATGTCCGGATTCCATATCAGGACAATATTGACCGGATTCCATATCCTGCTAAGTTGACCGGATTCCATATCCGGCTAAGTTGACCGGATTCCATATTCGGGTAGTGTTGTCCGGATTTCAAATCCGGTTAATGTTGATTTGACTTTATTTTGAATTAAAGTTCTTATCATGAAATGACGGTGTAACCGCGAGAGAGATGAAATGGCGGTGTAATCGCGAGAGAGATGAAATGGCGGTGTAACCGCGAGAGAGATGAAATGGCGGTGTAACTGCAAGAGAGATGAAATGGCGGTGTAACCGCGAGAGAGATGTAATGGTGGTGTAATCGCGAGAGAGATGAAATGACAGTGTAGCTGCAAGAGAGATGAAATGGCGGTATAACCACGAGAAAAATAGATAAATGTTTGTATCCATACAAGTTTGATTCTAAGTTTGGAAAGTTATGTTATTTGTATGAGAATTGTACACTCACTAGACCTTTTGGGTATAACGCTCAGTTGTTGGACTTAGGCCCGTTTCTGATATTTTTTAGGCCCTGGGCGAACATAAAAACAGGGCCCCCACTGCAAGAAACAAGACTTTTAGCAATGACTTTTGTTGTCGCTAAAAGTCCATTTATCATTAGAAATATTATATAACAACAACATGCCATCGCTATAACTTATGAAACATGTCATCGCTATAACTTATGAAACATGTCATCGCTAAAAGGCGCATCGTCAAAACTCACTTTTCTTGTAGTGAGTACAAAATAGATCACATCTCTGCATTAGGAGTATCCGTGTAAACTTTTCAGAAAATCTTATCGTCAGATCTATGAATTTCAGAACTTCGACAACTTTAGTGAGGAATCTTTTTGGCCTTAACCTTCTTTCCAATCTGACCAAACAACCATTTCGAAGTGAATTTGAGTACTTGAAGCTCTCAATAATTCTGAAGAATTTCTTCTTCCTTATSTCATTCCTGTAACACCCGTAATTTTCACTMTGTTGATAAATTTCTTCTTCCATATCTCGTTATCGAATCAAAACCAACAGCAAGATCCCTGATACCAGATTCTTCTACAATTTTTTTTGTTAATGGTTCATATATGAACAAGTATTCGATATTTATGGGAATTGTTCATGTGTGAACAGGGGTGTATATGGAAAAAAATCGTAAATGACACAAGTGTGCATATATRTCAATCTGTGTTTGTATTTGACACAAGGGTTCATATATGTCAAGTTGTGTTCATATGGTTGTAYGAATGTTCATATATGTGAATTTTTGTTCATATGGTCACACATGTTCATCATCTTTCGTATATTCATTTGTGTCAATATTTGTTCATATTTATACCAACTATACAAATATGTCAATTTGTGTTCGTAACTGACACAAGGGTTCATATATGTCAATTTGTGTTCGTAATTGACACAAGGGTCCATATATGTCAATTTGTGTTCGTAACTGACACAAGGGTTCATATATGTCGAGTTGTGTTCATATGGTTGTACGAATGTTCATGTATGTGAATTTGTGTTCATATGGTTACACATGTTCATCATTTTTCATATGTTCATTTGTGTCAATATGTGTTCATATCTATACCAACTATACATATAGGTCAATCTGTGTTCATAATTGACACAAGTGTTCATATATGTCAATTTGTGTTCATAATTGACACAATGGTTCATATATGTCGAGTTGTKTTTATATGGTTATACGAATGTTCTCATATGTGAATTTGTGTTCATATGGTCAAACATGTTCATCATCTTTCGTATATGTCAATTTGAACGATACCGAAAACTTTACTACCGGGTCTCCTCCACCAATCACAAATTCATAAATATTAGAGATAGAAAATTAATATTAAAAAAATAACAAGATTAATAATAAGTTAACACAAATCATAGGATTTTTATGATTTTGTAACTCTCAGTTAATGATATAGGAGTTACATAAAAAAGAAAAATTACATATGTATCTTTGTCATTAAATTATAAGATGGATAAGAACCTAATACTAAGATGGATTGTGATTGGTTGAAAATTGTTAACAAAGTTAACACAATAGTTTGAAAGATGGTCATTCAAAATAAGACAACATTATAAGTAAAACCCCATGATTTAACACAAAGGCATACGGATCCACCATTTTATGCATTCACTTTGTTCAAATCTTTCAACTCTTCACCATTTTGGAATCAAAACCAACCAAATGGTAAAAACAAGTAGGTATATCGTAAATAATCATTAATAAAGGTAATGAAAGATTTGTATTCTCCTAAACCAGAAGGGAAAGGACCACAAATGTCCGTATGAATTATTTCAAGCAAGCTTGAACTACGGTTTGCACCTTTCTTATTATTATTAGTCATCTTACCTTTTATGCAATTTACACATGGATCAAAGTCCGAGAAATCAAGATTTTCAATAATCTCATCTTTAAYAAGACGTGTCATCCTTTCTTTAGATATATGATCTAGACGTTTATGCCATAATCGGGATGATTTTTCAWTATCTCTCTTTCTCTTACTTATATTACTACATTCACAAATATTTACATCCATAGGTAATAATGATTCCGAAAACTTATTATCAAGGTTTAGTTTATAGAGGCTGCCCTCCAATCTACCAAACCCAACAACTGATTTATGATGATATATAATAACATCATCATCATCATTATTAAAGTTAAAGCTATATCCATCATATTTAAGGTTAGATACATATATTAAGTTGCAAGTTATAGTAGGTACATATAAAGTGTGTTGAAGGACCATTTCATGTTCTCCATCTAATAACAACACCATACTACCTATAATTTCAACCTTCTTTTCATTTATGTCCCTAACTTTAATGGTCCGTTGGTTGTTTTCCAGTATTTTCTTTGTATGGAATCCCTACAATGAATTAGTAATGTGAATCATATCCCGTGTCAATCCACCAAGTATTAGAAGGCACACTTGGTGTACCTTTCTTTGCCAACCACTCTTTAAATTTTGGGCAGTTGTGCTGAGTGTGACCAAGTTTCTTGCAGAATTTACACTTAGCCTCCCTCTTAGTTCTACTTGTATTAGGACCAGTTTTCTGAGACTTGTTGGGACAAAATTGGATTTATTCCCCTTGTGTGAACCCTTTGCGCCATCATTGAACTTCCTCTTGTTGGAATTAGTGGTGGTAAGATGAGCAACTTCGGGTTTTTCTATTTTTAGACGCTCCTCTTCTT